CTACCTGACCCAAAAATTGACCTCACAGGTAACATACCTGACCCTAAAACTAACCTCACAGGTACCTACCTGACCCTAAACTAACCTCACAGGTACATACCTGACCCAAAAATTGACCTCACAGGTAACATACCTGACCCTAAAACTAACCTCACAGGTACCTACCTGACCCTAAACTAACCTCACAGGTACCTACCTGACCCTAAAACTAACCTCACAGGTACCTACCTGACCCTAAACTAACCTCACAGGTACCTACCTGACCCTAAAGCTAACCTCACAGGTACCTACCTGACCCTAAAACTAACCTCACAGGTACCTACCTGACCCTAAAGCTAACCTCACCGGTACCTACCTGACCCTAAAACTAACCTCACAGGTACCTACCTGACCCTAAAACTAACCTAAACTCAGTCCACACCTTGGTCCTAAACCCAACCCCCAACCTACCAATGGCATTTAAACCAAACGGGGACTCAACTTTTGTCCCCAAATGCACCAGTTGTCCCCAAAGGTAGGCATTTTTGTCCTAAAATTGACCCCAAACATCACCAGAAACAACCCCCCCACACACACACACACACACAGACACACAAATAAACAGATCAGGATCAACTCAGGGTGCAGCATCTTGCCCAAGGGAACTTTGGCACCCGGGATCCAACTCTCCACCTGATCAAGACTTCAGCTCAGGTGGTGGATAAATAAAGTGCTGTGGGGCAACGCAGATTATAATCTGTTAGATTTTCTTATAACAGCATTAAAACACAGACTAGACGCTGAAGAGAATCAGCCTCCACAACACTGTTGCTACGACAACCGGTCCAGATCCTCACTCCCTCTGCTCTTTTTTTACATAACTCCGAGTTATTTATTATTGATCAGGGAAGTATATATATAAATATATATATATTTGTATTTGTGCGCTCCTGTTTCTGTTTTTAACCACTTTTACTGTTTTAATGGTTTTTAACTGTTAGGAAAATATCACCTGAATCAATGGATGAGTTTGAACGAAACTCTCAGAAAGTAATCAGAGGACTTTAGGAGCCACAGCGGCTCAGTTTCACAGATACTGAGTTAAAACTTTATCTGAGTTTAAACCTCACGTCTCACAGTGACCGTCTGATCTGTTGGGAGCGACGTGGAGACGGATCGATACATGACACAGACACGAGGCGGGGGCCGTCCACTGAGGGTCCATCAGTCCCACCGCCAGCAGATCTGAATGTGGGTCAGCACACACACACACACACACACACACACACACACACACACTGGACAGAGCTGTTCCAGAGGACAGACGATGGATGGAAGTGAATCCAGGTCAAAGAGGAAACAAATAAATCTAATAAAAACGCATCATGAAAACAACTTGCTCCATGTTCCGTTAATCCCAGCTCAGTTTGTGGGATTATATCACAACAACACAGGTGTGAGACGCTGTTAAAACCCAGACCTTTGCTTTGCACCGACTGACAGTTTAAAGTTATCCAGAGTTACACGGAACGGAGCAGATTGAGAGTGTTTACTCCCGAAACGCAGGTATGCACTCAACGTAAACAAAATGTTTTAACTCAGCAAATCAGAGTAAACACGCAGCAACACATCTAAATTATCAGACTTTACTTTCGCAAACGGCTCCTTTGAGGACGTCACCGCTGATTGGCCCCTTTTTCAGCAACTTCGGCTGTTTTTGTGGCTAAAACAAACGACGGTCACAAATTCAGCTTAAAGTTTCGAATTTAGGAACATATTAG